GCCCCGGGCTTCCTGGAATCAGCCGCTGATCAGTTTCAGCAGCAGCTGACTTGGGGATGCCTGGGGTTCTTAAGTTGAATCTGTATGTAAGTCAGAACTGACGTCCAGATTCAGCCGCTGTTGAAACTGATCAGTTTCAGCAGTGGCTGAATCTGGACGCCAGTTCTGACTTACATACAGATTCAACTTAAGAGCAAACCTACAGTCCCTATCTTATACGTAACCTGGGGACTGCCTGTATAGATTAACATTTATCGGAGCATAAATTTTCATTGGCAAAGACCCACTTCATCAGATGCATGTAGTGGAAATTCCCACTTTCCGCTTTTTCAGGTTCAGACTAACATGGCTACCCCTCTGATACTTATCAGGCAAGGCTGTCATAAATTTTCTTTGAGATGTTGCTTAAATTCTAGTCTGGTTTTACTGCTTAACATTTAAATAATCCCATTCTATTCTATACAAGTCCACATGCTGCATTTATCATCAGAGTATCTGAATATCTTCCAGTAGTGCAATAAACAGCAGGATTAACATTTGTCATGTTTTGTTTGTTCTCTCATCCTCTCTCCATAAGAGAAACATGCAGTGGAGTGTCTTGTTTTGGGTAGTTTTGTATAAATATGTCTGTTCCTATGTATGTATATAGCAATGTCAAAGAAAATACACTTTGTACTTGTAATGGGAGCCTTGTCATTGCTCCTGGGAGAGTTTACTCTAGAGACAGACTGGCTCCTGTGAAAACTCTGACTCCTGCAAAGTTGAACTTCCCTATTCTTTTCAAGAGTCCACTGTGCCAAGGGAGCATGGTTGTTATCCAGTGTCTTCATTCTGGAGCAGTTTTTCAGATATTCTGGGTCCAGGTCATAAAACTCCTTGAAGATAAGGACCCAGACCTTAAAGTTGATTCAAAATTCTGTGGCAAGTCACAGTAGACAGAAGAGGACAGGTAGGATTTGCTCATAATAGTGTGTTGCTGAGGAGGAAAAAGACCTCAGGCTCTAAGGAGACATAGAAAACCAGCAAGATGGACTCTGATCCATCTCATCAGGCAATACTGGAAACAGCAAAGAAGAAAATGATGATTCTTTTTTTAAGAGAATGAGAATTTTCTTCCGCATTGTATTTGCTGATTGTCTATGAGTTAAAGAGATTATGACACAATTGAAACTGAAGACTATAAATGCTAACGTGCTGAATAATGTACAAATATACTTTCTGCTTTTTAGGCAGGCATTCAGACATATATTTTTATTATTAAAAAGGGTAGTTATTAAAGAATGCTAAGGAAATTAATTTGTTTTGCAAAGGAAGCTTGTTTTCTTTTAAAATAATTCTTATCGGAAGGACTGCAAATCTATACTGACTGGAATAGTCCCTTTTGAAATCCAGGCCCCCCACAAGCCAGTGATCCTGACTAATAGTTTGCAACTACTGAGCTTAAGTTATTTTAAAATTCAACTTTGTTGGCATCAGGATCCAAATTGTAATTGTTTGAAAGTAAACAAGCTAGTAAAAATGAAATTAGCCACTTGCTGTATTTAGTGTTTTATGGCAAAAAATACTTAATCTAGTTGATACTTTACATTTTTTATAAAGACTTAATAAACCATTTAGGCAATGCTTTAACCCAAAGTTATAGTCCAAGAGAAATCCTGCCCCCACAAACTGAGGGGAGTTGTCACACTGATTTCAGTCAATCCAGGATTTTAATTCCTTGTACTATGAAGAAACCTGGAGTAGGATGAACCTCTATGAAGGTTTGGTAAAATCCCTTAAAGAAAGATCTATTGGGGTGTATATTTATATAGTTTAAATATAAAAGAAACCTGAGTGACCAAAGCCAATAAAGTGAGAAATGACCTCTTACTAATAATGTTCACTTTAGAGCCCAAAGACCATCCAATTTAAGGAGGTAGATATTTTGATTTGAAACCTCCAGTGATTATTAGGGACATATAGGAAATAATTGTATTTTTTTTCTTCTCAACCTTTTTGCCATTTCACCATTAATGGCTCTAACCCATTACTAGGTCAGGATATGTCATTTGTTACTCTAGCCAGAGATTGGCCACCCGAAGTCCTGGCCTAAAGCTCAGCTGCCCTCCAAAGAGCATTAACTCTCACTAGCAGCTATTGAGGGCTCTACTATTGGCTCTACTTACCATGGACATCCTGCGACCCATTGCAGAAGGGGGTGGTGGGGTGATGGGAGGGCTGCTCTCCTCTCTGCATTTGGCTTCAGAGCTGGAGCCATTCCTGGAATCGGAGCTCTCTGTGTCACTGGCCAACTGGCTCTCGGACAGCACCCTGGACAGGAAGCTGGCCTTGCGATTGCCCTGATAGTGCCCACTGTCTGGAGAGTCAACACGATCATCCCCGTAATCTTTGCAGCTGCTCACCCGGCTGTGTTTGCGGAGCATGTTGCGGGGGCCTTGGGAAATCTCTAGTGGACCAGCATTAGTGGGGGTCTTGGCTGGCTGCACGGGGTTTCTGGGCGGCTCTGGGATGTGCTGTTCACTCTCTGGGCAGTTCTCAACACTCTGCTGGGGCTGTTTGTGGGTCTCCTCGCTGCTGGAGGAAGGGTGTCTGGGTGGCTGTCCCACATTCTGGTTGGGGAGCTGTCTGTGGTGCTGCTCCCTTTCCTGGGGGTGCTCTGGGTGCTTGTACAGGCGAGGGACCTGTCCATGGTGCTGGTCACTCTTAGGCCTGTCTGTGCTGCACCGGCGCTGCTCAGCACCCATCCCTACTGCCCGCTGGCCATGATCAGCAGGGGTCTGGAGCACTTTGTACCCTTGTGCTGGAGGCAGATAAACAGGCAGCCCCCCCTGCTGGGTGGGCAAAAGTTTATAGCTATTCTGGGGGGAGGAATTTCTCATGATGCAAACTTGCTGTACCACCGAGTTCTTCTTCAAGTTGCAAATGCTTGTCTCCTCCTCTGCCATCGCTGTCTCTCTTCTTTGCCTCTCGTGCAGGGTTGTCTTTATCTTCTTTAGTCCCAGGTGGATAATCTCCAGGATGTTCAGGAACAGGGAGACAGCTGCGATGCTATGCATAAAAATCATAAAGATGGTCTTCTCTGTGGGTCTGGACACAAAACAATCCACTGTGTTAGGGCAGGGAGGCCGAGTGCATTTGTAAAGGGGATGCATTTGAAGCCCGTATAAAACATACTGGCCTATCATAAAACCTACTTCCACCACGGAACGGGTTAAGATATGCAAGACATAGGTGCGCAATAGAGACCCTCTCAAGGGTGCCTTGTTCACTTTCTTCTGTTCTTCTAACTTCCTTAACTCCCTTTCCATTTTCTTGTGCTCTTCCAGGATGGGCTCCAGCTCTTCTAGCTGGGCTCTGAGATGAGCTCTCTTCTTTTGCCTCTCTTTCTCCAGGGCCCTAAGTCTATAAAGTGCATGCCCCATATAGACTAGGGATGGGGAAGAGACAAAGATGATCTGTAGCACCCAGTATCTGATCAGAGAGATGGGGAAGGCTTTGTCATAACAGACATTGCTGCAGCCAGGTTGCTCGGTGTTACAAATGAACTCAGACTGCTCGTCATCCCAAACATCTTCAGCAGCCACTCCCAGCACCAGCATGCGGAATATAAAAAGGATAGTGAGCCAGATTTTGCCCACGATGGTGGAATGGATATGCACTTCCTCTAGGATGCTGCCCAGCAAGTTCCAATCCCCCATCATCAGTGGCTCATGTCTGAAATAGAAAAATCCCATGTTGTTAAAGCATCCCACATTTCTACAAAATGGGAGCTTTTTCAGCTGTTTTCAACAACACTGTTTCATCTTGCTTTATAACACATGCATAAGGGAGGAGATTTTAAAACTTCATAAGTTTTCCAATCAATGGTTCAGTAATACAGACAGAGAATTAAGATCCTATTAAGGTGGTGAGTGACAGATGCAAAAACAAGATTGTACCAAGCACTTAGAGACAGATTTCAGTGATAAATTTGATGCTACTTCCTCACTTACATCATATCCTTTCTGTGATTTAAATGGTTTATTTTTGTTTGCCCAGTCTGTTTCAGTGGCAGTGACTCTTTCTTTGCTTTTGAATACGATACAGCTAGTACAGCGTGTTTTCAAGAGATAACCCATGCAGGCAAGTTAATTCAACTGTGGGTTCTTTGGAACATAGGCCTGAAATGAGACTTTTCTTGCTACTACTTTACAGCCCTAATCCTATGGCTTCCTACCAACTATAGCACAATCCTGAAGTTTTCATGTAGGCTGCAACCCTGCAAATATTTGAGCATATTTCTAACCTTGCACCTCTGGGTAGTCTCATTCAGTTCAACAGGAATACTTGCATGCAAAGAGTTTGCAGGAAGCGGGATTTTATTAGGGCAACCTTTACTAAAGTCAGCGGGGCTTTGGCTTGAACAGTACATTTAGGATTTGTGAGTATCTTTCTAGATAGAATGGGAAACACAACTGAGTGGTTTTTAAGGGTTTTTTTTTATCAGTGAGTGTAGCAAAAGCCATTTAATTAGCTGAAGTCCAAAGGCTCTTCTGCTTGTCATCAAACAAGAATTAAGTTCTGCAACATGAGCCCTTGGTTTCTGAGGCAGCTCAGTGAGGCAGGTTATAGAAATTCTGTGGGAGCTTTCAAAACTGTTTTTTTAAAATTAATGTGAACATAGATATTCTGTCTAGTATCACTTCCCTTAGGGTATGTCTATACTACCCTCCTAATTCAAACTAGGAGGGTAATGTAGGCATACCGCACTTGCAAATGAAGCCCAGGATTTGAATTTCCCGGGCTTCATTTGCATGAAGCCGGCCGGCACCATTTTTAAATGCCGGCAGTTCGAACCCTGTGCCGCGCGGCTACACGTGGCACCGAGTAGCTAGTTCAGATTAGGCTTCCTAATGAGGAGGCTTCGTGGAATGAGGAGTACAGCTAGTTCGGATTGTATGCCTACATTACCCTCCTAGTTCGAATTAGGAGGGTAGTGTAGACATACCCTTAGATTTCACTAAGATGGTAAAATACTGGAAGTCACTGGAACCTCATCTATACTAGGACTCTCCTGTGTTTATATCAATTGAACTGGTCCTAGCAATGGTGGGAATTTTAGCAAAAAAATTCACTGGTGGGGATTTTTTTCTAAAATTCTCTAGCAAAGGCAAAGTTGAAGCTGTACGAGTGTGGTTTTTACTAGCCTGGGACTTGGCAATTATGTTATTCCATTGTGTTTCTTCTCTCTCATGTAAAGAGTGTTTAAATGAAGCTATAAATCAATTTGTCACCGCTAATGTTGAAGAACAAGTTCTGATAGAATATCCTAGGAGTAGAGAATATCTTGATTTTTTTTGGAGAAGAAATAGGTTGGTTTAATTATGTAGGGAACATAAGCTATATTTGGATTTGGTTTTAGGCTTGAGTAACTTTCATTGGTCAGATGTTTAATGCAAGTTAAATTACTAGAAATTTGAAGCAGTTTTCTGGTTCGTAGGCAAAAGGTTATTAAAATAAGGCCAAACACTTCCCCTGAACTTAACCCAGGCCTGATCATTCTTTTCCCGGTATCTCAATCCATTGCCACAAGGATGTGTTGGAAGGCCAGGGAGGTTTTAGGCTTGAGTAACTTTCATTGGTCAGATGTTTAATGCAAGTTAAATTACTAGAAATTTGAAGCAGTTTTCTGGTTCGTAGGCAAAAGGTTATTAAAATAAGGCCAAACACTTCCCCTGAACTTAACCCAGGCCTGATCATTCTTTTCCCGGTATCTCAATCCATTGCCACAAGGATGTGTTGGAAGGCCAGGGAGTAAGTAAACACTGACAAATTATTAATTATATTTTTAAACTGATGTCTTGGGCCTAAATGAAAGTCTGTTGATAATTTCATGAACGCATCATACTTTCTTGTATCCTGTTTTCAAAGGACATCCATTTGTGGTTATTATGATATGCACACACTGCTAACCTAGAATCTTTGATGTGACTTCAAATGCCAGGGATGCCAGCTCATTGACTTTCTTCAGATATTGGCCTCTGAAGATATTTAGGTGTCCCCTAAAGATGAGTAAGGATATAGCCTATTTTCTTCCCTGGACTGGCCATCCAAAGAACAAAAGGTGAAAGCAGTGGCAGATTAGCCACTGGAATAACATGGTCCATTCTTAGGGCTGAGGTAGCCTCTGAAAAAATGGGCACCCCAGGCCCAGACCCACTCTACCCATCTGGTGTTCCTGCCAGTGAGTGGGAAAAAGTCCATATGTCCTGACCCCACTTCCCGACAAGAATGCCATGTGGGGAGGGAAGCCACTGTGCCCTGACCCCATTTTCCTGGCAGGAGCACTGAAAGGCTGGTGCAGGGGGGACTTCACATGGAATGAGTGGGAAGGGGCCCCCTCTTGCTCTAACTTAGGCCTCCACAATCTCCTAATCCAGTGAAAAACTCTGACCATCTGGTAAACCAAGTCTGAAGTGTACAACTCTTGCAGAGAGAAAGAGAGAGAAGAGACCAAAGTCTTTCCCTCCCCCAATGCAAAAAAACCCAACGACAACCTACTAGTAAATATCAACTTAGTTCCAAACTAATCCCGATCACGTGAGCTGAAGACTTTAAGAAGGTGTGAAAATCCTTCTGCAGAGCAATTCAAAAATAGCTCCAAGGCCCATTAATATGACTGAGTGGGTGTAAGTGTTTCTTTCTCTGTTTGTTACTAGCTGTTCCCCAAAGTCGACACTTAACCCCTAAAATCTGTTAGCAAGAGATGTCTGTTTTAAAGGAGAGTCATTCCAAAGACAAGGAGAGTGTGGGATTCTAGAAATCATTGTGTATTTGTGCCAGACTGCCAGAAAGATGTGAGCACTGTGTTCAAGTACGGTGGAGAAACAGATTAAATAAACCACAGTTTGATGTAGTTTCTGTGAGCTGTAAAGCTCAACGAGAGAAAGCAGCCAATGGAGGAAGTTACTAGGAAATCATTCTAAGGGCAATAATTCCTTAAAACCAAAGCAAGAACTAGCCTTTGCTTTTAACGGGTGCCTAGGAAAACTGCTGATTTAATCAAAGGGAACAACTTATCCTTGTAACCTTCCTGGAACATACTAACAACATTGTTTTCCTTAACTTGTTTATTACCATTGTTTAGCTACTTATTGTAGTAATTGGCAAGCGAGATAAATTGAACCATCAATATATTGCTTATACTTTAACTATAATCTAGATTTGATTATTGCATTTTTATTGTAAGCTTGATTTATGAGTTAAATTAGCTAACAATATTTTGCTTCAACTCACTTTTGTTTTCTAACTGCTTACTTAATCTTTTAATAAATGGATAAAAGATCTGCTGGAATGGTTTCTCTCTCCAAACTTCAACACAAAATAATGTAAGTAGAAGTAAAATGTAAAATTATTCAGATTTTTTCAGAACATATCAAACATTTTATTTCAGCTAGCACCTGATTATTCCTACAAGTGGGTCAAAAAAAGGTAGTCTAGATGTGGATCTTTCGAAAATACAACCCTTTTTTGAAAGATCCCTTATCCCTCATAAAATGAGGTTTACAGGATCTTTCGAAAAAGGCTTTATTTTTCAAAAGAGCCGCGTCTAGACTGCCGTTTTTGGTTTGGGTTTTTTTCGAAAAAGCTCTGTTTCAAAAAAAGGTGGTGGCCATGTTTATGCTAATGAAGCACGGGATATTTAAATCCCCGCTTCACTAGCAATTTCGACGTGCCTAATCTACATCTCTCTGTCGACAGAGAGGTGTACTCTAGATACAGCCCAAATGTGGTGCTGGCTTGTAGATGCAACAACAAAGGAGAGACAAGGCCCTCTTTTAATGGCAAAAAAAGAAGCAGCAGGGGAAACCTAGTATCTTTCTAGCAGATTAATATCCAGTAATGACAATAATACCCTTTGGCTAACAGAAGGTCAAAGTATAAAGGGACACATGAACATACAGCCTTGTCTCTGACAAAGTATTTGTTTCTTAGCTTGCTTTGCCACTATTTAAATAGCTCTATCTAGACTCTCTCGTATAGTTCTCATTTTCTCTGCTGCTATTATTTGAAGAACGTTTATTTGAATGACTGGATTGGCAGAACAGTAATGCAGTTTATATGGTGAAGACACTCCCTGCAATGGAAAAACTAGCCTTTTTATTGAAGCCCATCATTATGAGAAGAAAGCAAAAATCATGTAAGACCTAAAAGGAAAGGATCAGCAATACTGTTGCAACAATAATTTTCCAGTGTCCCTAAGTCTCTTTCTCACAGCGATATTATCTGAGTGCTTTTTAATATTCTGATCTTCAGAATCAAAGTGAGAAATAACATGTTAAAATATCCCCTTATGATACACTGGTGAGGTTGTTTATTTATTTTAAATGTTACAAGTACAATAGTTATTATAAAAAGTAAATATCGTGGACAATTCTAATTACATTTTTTGAAATCCCAGAAAGACTCAAGTGACATTACAAGCTGTCCAAATGTGATTTTTATTTTTATATTGAACTTTTAAAAGACATGCACAGAAATGACTGGCACTGGTGAAAAAAAATTTTTCATGTAGGGA